AGTAAATACTAAGCTTCTACGGGATTATGCAAAAATTGATGCAAGATTACGGCAGTTGGCTTTTATTGTGAAACACTGGGCCAAGTCTAGAGGAGTCAATGAAACTTACCAAGGAACCTTATCTAGCTATGCGTGAGTTATTTGCAACTATAACTTTATTCCCTTAATTAGCAATGTAATTCTTGAGCAGCATATGCCAATGGTGTTTGTGGTGAGGCTGTTTGGCTTGCTTTGATATGAATAAAAGCATAGATATATGTACAAGCTAATGATGGGCAATTTAGGTAGGATTAATGCCCCTGGAAAAAGGGTCGGACACATTCATGTTAAGTCTTAATTTAATTTGCTGCTGTGTTGACACATGATAATGTTTGTGTGGCTTCAATTTTGTTTTTGATTTGTATTTTCTTTGCAGGTATGTTTTAATGTGCATTCATTTCTTACAGCAGCGTAGACCTGCTATCCTTCCATGCTTGCAGGTGTGTATGCCTTTTTTGCTTCCATCTATATCATGCAAGAAAGAATATATGACTAACATGTAATTCCAATATCTGTTAGTTTAATGGCTCTATTAAGTTGTATATAAGGTACAAAGATGGGAACCTAATGATTTGGATGTTGTCATACGTTTGCTTCTTTATTGTTGGTAGAAATATTCTCTTTTCCTGCTTTCTCTACCCAAATAGTAAAGGTAACATGATGTTCTATTTGCTTCTTTACAATTTTCAAATTTATTCACCTATTGTTTAAAACATCAACCATTAATAGTGTTTTTGACATGCCTCATCTAGTTGGCTGCACAAGTTAAGGATAAAGGACTAAATTAAAAGAGTATCTTTAATGTTTGCCATTACCTAGTATTGCTCTCTGTGGAAAGGGGTTTAGAGAGAATTGCATAACATAATGAAATGCTGGCAGACGACAAAGAGGGAGTTATTTAGTGTAAAAAATGGAAAATCCTTTCATAGAATGAACTTATCGTAGTTAGTTTCCCGCCCTGGCTCATGTATGATTCTTGATTTTATTTCCCAAGACTAAATAGTATGGTTAGGAATTATTATCTGGCAAGTTTCATTTCGCACATTTGTTCACAGTCGTTATTCCTGTGTGCGAAACATATTATGTGAAGCCTTGATTCTATTTTTTTTCTTACTGTATACCATGACTGTGAATGTTGTTGGTATTTATTGGGACCATGCTTTGTGAATTCTCTTTCAGGGGATGGAGACAACTTACTCTGTCACCGTGGATGATGTTGAGTGTTCTTACTTTGATCAAGTTGAAAGACTACGTAATTTTGGATCTTCTAACAAGGAAAGTGTTGCACAACTGGTGTGGGCATTCTTTAATTATTGGGCATATGGTCATGATTATGCCAATTCAGTAATCTCTGTTCGTACAGGAAGCATAATCAGGTGAGATGCAAACCGATATATTTTGTAGGAACTCTACTTAAATGATTTGAGGTGAAGATAAAAAATGTCTTTATGGTTTCTGTATTTGTAAATGCAAGTTGAATTGTATGAATTTTGTTTTAGATTTAAGCACTTTCTGTGGGTATTAACTGCATCTTGTGGTAAATGATACCGCTTCTTATATGCTGTAAGGAGTTTTATTAACTGATTCCATCTATATGCTATGATAAAACGAAAAAAGTTTCTCATTTATGAAATCTTCATTTGTACAGTAAGCAAGAAAAAGACTGGACGAGGAGAATTGGCAATGATCGCCATTTAATCTGCATGGAGGATCCTTTTGAGACATCTCATGATCTTGGTCGAGTGGTGGATAAATTCAGTATTAGGGTTCTAAGAGAAGAATTTGAACGTGCTGCTGATGTTATGCAATATGATCCAAACCCTTGCGTGACACTCTTTGAGCCTTATGTTCCTAGGTGATAAAACCTTGTCTAATGTAAACTATTTGGTTGTGTAGTGTGTTCCTTTTCATTCCATCTTCAATTTTGTCCATGTGTTCATATAAATATATTTAGGGCTTTTGGCTTTAGGGCTTTTAGCTTTGTGTAAAGAATATTAAGTTTATCAAATTTTTACAATTTTCTTTTATTTCTATGTTATATTAAATCACATTCTAATTGTATAGGATCTGGTTGAAGTGCATCTCACACAAATTAATTGATTACAAAAAAAAAAATAAAAAATCATTTCTATGGCTACTGATTTTTGGAGGAAATGTAGGGTAGATTATAGTCTCGAGCTTTCATATTTTTGTAATTGATTTGGTCAATGTTCTCTAGTCTTTTTTTTTTTCTTTTTATTTCTTTCTTATGGCTTTTTATAATAGCAAACAGGTACGAGTATTAAAATTCAAATTTAAAATTTTTTATTTTTAAGTGTCAAGTCTGTTTGTTTTGGTTGAAAATATTTTCTTTCAGAATTCAGTCGTGTTTCGTAACTTGAAAATATTTTTTATTTTGTAAAGGATTTTACTGGATAGTGGGAAAAAGATTTGTTGATTTCGTAAATTGTTTTTCGCCCTCAAGCGGTGTAAAATATTTTTCTCTAGTGGAAGAAACAAAAGCCTTCTGCATCAAGACCCCAGGTCTCTTCTCTACCATCCTTTCCTCCACCCTCGATCTCTTTCATAGACGACATGGTTAGCTTCATTTGGCTTCTCTCAATAGCCATGTATGCTCTGTTCCCTTTCTCCCTCAACACTGGAAATCAATCTCTCATTTCTGTACTCCTTTTCCTGGGTATTTTTCATAAGATATTCTATTTCTCATATTCTTCAAAGATCTCTTGAATCCTTGTCCTCTTCTGTTCCCATTTTGTGTTGCATCGCCACTTGTCATCTTTGTTTCCCTTTTGACCTTCTTGCTTCGATTTTCCATATAATTTGGGTATTAACCCATTTTGCTTGGTTGCTGGTTCATGTGATCTATGATTTGATTATATAGATGGATTGTAGCCAAAGCAGGATTTCAAAGCTCAAAAGTTATTAGGACCTAGGTTTTTGTCCTTGGATCTTTGCTTTTTTTTCTAACAAGAAAAATATGATGTTGATATTATTCAAGACTTTTGATTGTTAATGTTGCCAGCTCAATAGTATGATAATAAAGAATTTGTAATACTGATCTTTGAATTATTACTGTTAGATTACAGTTTTGCTTTGGTTAAATTGAGGAAATTGAGGTTAGGGCATTAGTTCTAATTGTACTATCTTCTTAAGATACAAAATGAAATCAAGTGAAAAATAATGCAACGAGCAGTAGGATTCTATTTTTACTTTTAAATTGATGCATAGTTTTAGCAAACAAGGGTTTTGTAGTTTTAAACTAGAGTTTAAAGTTTGTGACATCTATATAGTAAATTAAGCAACTTTAGACTTTACAAGGTACTTGAAACTTACTTTCAAATTTATGAAAAAAAATTAAAAATTATGAAATTTTTATAATTTGATGGTAGAAAATATTTTATATGAGATGATTCAAATAATATAAAATATTTTTAACAACTTATTAAAATAACAAAAAATATTAAAATTTTTATAAAATATCTTTCATAAATTTTTTTTAATAAATTATTTTATGATTATCAAACGAAGTCTGAATTAACATTTGAAATTTTTAAAAAGTATTAACCGCTAAACAAATTAAGAATTTTTTTTTATGAAATTAAACTTTCTGTTAGATTAACATAGTAGATAAAGATTTGCATCTGAGTTAATTAGTTTGATCGAAATGATTGGGTCCGGTGATGCCGATGCCGGCATAAATCGTGACATTCATGTCAACAGCTACAGTTTCCTAAATCGGAATCAGAAAAATAAAAAACAAAGCTGTCCTGTCTTGTCCAGTCCTGACTGCGTACGGCAAGACTATGTCACGACCATTTCTTCCAGCAATCTTACGTAGGTTAAACACTCCCTCACTCAGCTACCAATTTCCTAAGGCTAACACGGCGAAACAATAACAAACCAATGGCACCTGAAAACCCATCTCATCCTTCCGAAAACGACTTGCCATATGTTCTGATCCTTAGACACCCGTCAGGCTTGGTCATCTTCGGGGACCATTTCTTCAACTCCACCAAATTCCGTTTCTTGAAAGCATACGAATCTCCACTCCCTCTTGCCCACTTCTTGCTCGCTCACGCTCAGTCCGTACAGACCGTTCTCTCCTCTGGTTTAGCTCCTGTCACCGCCGATACCATCCGCCTCATGCCCCTCCTGCCTTTGGTCGTCACCACTACCCAGGGCCTTAACCACTTCGACCTCTCCGAGTGCCGACGCCGTGACATCGCCGTCGCTAGCTCTAGAACCATTTACTCCACTGATTGTGCGGATTCCGTGGTGGCGTTGTGATTGACGTTTTGAGGAAGGTTTCGGCTGCCAACCGCTTTGTCAAGCAAGGGCTCTGGTCTTCCCAAGGAGAGTACCCTCTTGGCTTCAAGGTCGTATCCTATCCTTTCTTCTCTGATTATCTGTTTTATTTTTCAAGGAAAAATTTATTAGTAGAAGCTTTGACCCCAGAGAATTACAACTTTAAACTTGTCCTTAATTCCGAATCTAAATTATAATTGTAAAGTACTATTCAACTGTTATGTGTTGTTGGTGATTTGGTAATTGACGAATTTCATCTGGAAGGTAAGCGTGTGGGAATTGTTGGATTAGGGAGTATTGGATAAGAGGTTGCTAAAAGGCTGGAGGCATTTGGCTGCTCTATCTCTTACAATTCAAGAAAGAAAAAACCATTTTTCTCATACCCCTTTTATCCGAACGTTCGTGAACTGGCCGCAAACTGCGATGCCCTTATAATTCGCTGTGCATTAACTGATGAAACGCACCACCTGATTAACAAGGAAGTGTTGTCGGCGTTGGGGAAGAATGGAGTCATTGTTAATAAAGCACGTGGACCCATCATTGATGAGAAGGAACTGGTTCGGTGTTTAGTTGAGGGGGAGATCCGAGGAGCTGGCTTGGATGTGTTTGAGCATGAGCCTGATGTTCGAAGGGAGCTCTTTGCATTGGATAATGTAGTTATGTCTCCCCATTATGCTGTTTTTACAAGGGAATCGTTTGAAGATCAGCGTAAACTCGTGGTCGGGAACTTGGAAGCTTTCTTCTCAAATGAACCCTTACTGACTCCTGTTGTTCTGGATGATCCACCACATTTCTCAGGTTAGTACTAGGAATATTACTGAAGCTTTTATATATTGGAACTGGTTCTTTTGAACATTCTATTTGACAAGCTCTAATTTCACATCATGAATGGGATCTGCTTCTTCCTATAGGAAATTTGTTCTTGCTGATATAGCTGGTCATGCCCTGCTGCTAAGCTGAAATAGATGGTTTTTTGTTGACGTTCTCATGGTCTTTAGGCAATCTCATCTCATTTATCATCATCATCACCACCATCTCTTTCCCTCATTTAGTAGAAACTGGTCATATGCTAAGAGGTTGGTCGCTCTATTCCTCTATAAATTCACATGCTCGTTCGGGTGGATGCAGGGTGAAAAGACTAAAGTAGTTGAGGAGAGGAGACGAGGACTAAGTGCTGGTGCATTGTCATTAACTTTAACCCTTATGTCTTCCAAATTGTAAGCTTGAAATCGTATAGAATTGCTAGCAATCATTGTTAAAAACTAGATATAACGAGCATGGTTTACCACTGCTGGCAAATCTATGCTCTTGCAAACTTGTTTATGGTAGTCAACAATTGAGACAGGGTTTTAACCTCTTTGTATGGTACAAAAAGCCTTTCATATGTATTTGCACTTCTACATCTTGGTCTTGAAAACAAGACAAGAGAAAACTATGAACAAATTTGTTTGCCGGCTTAGATCACCTGGCCAAATGAATGCATGCAATTATGAGTCTAACCTTCATCAAAAGATCTTCTCAAGTGGGTTTCAGTTCCATACTTCAATTACCTGCAGTGCAATGGCCCATTATCAATGCCCAGAAAGCCATTTCTATCTTAACTCTTTTTATCCCAACATTGATAAACTGGCAGGGGAGATTATGTTCTTGAGCTTTTCATATCTTTTCCAAGTCTGTCTATTCAGTTGAGAGGACAAGCTAGTCGGAATTCATGGTCAGGGCTGCATTGGCTTAGAAGTGGCAACAAGGGTTGACTACACGCCTTTGTCGCATACGTTCTTTTTATTTCTTTCTTTCTGCTTTGCCATTATAACATTCAAGTACTAGTATTAAAATTCAAATTTAAAATCTGTTATTTTAGGTCGTTTGACGTTATTACAATTAAATTTTTCTTTTTTTATTAATGTGATAAGTATTAAAAATTAAACTTATATTTATTGAATTGCAGTGTATAGATTTTATACAAAATTAAATTTTATTATATCGTTAATAAATAAATTTTAGAATTAATAATTTTTAAAAATTTTTATAGTACCGGAGCAAATCGTGGCGTTCATTTTAGCGACTACAGATTGGTGAATTGAGATCAGAAAAATAAATAAAAAAAAGCCTGGCTGTCCTGTCGTGACTGCATATGTCTCATGTGCGCCGGACGCTCACCATACATCAAGCCGACGACCACTTCCTGCCAGCAATCTGATGCAAATCCCAGAGTTTCCACTCGCTTCACTCCCAATTTCGCAGGGCTGAAACCGACGACAATGGCACCTGAAAACCCATCTCTTCCTTCCGAAAACGACTTGCCATATGTCCTGATCCTTAAACCCCCGCCATCTTTCGTCATCTTTGGGGAACATTTCTTCAACTCCACCAAATTCCGTTTCCTGAAGGCATACGAATCTCCACTCCCTCTTGCCCACTTCTTGCTCGCTCACGCTCAGTCCGTACAAGCCATTCTCTCATCTGGTGGCGCTCCTGTCACCGCCGATACCATCCGCCTCATGCCCCTCCTGCGTTTGGTCGTCACCACTAGCCAAGGCCTTAACCACATCGACCTCTCCGAGTGCCGACGCCGTGGCATCGTCGTCGCTAGCGCTGGAACCATTTACTCCGCTGATTGTGCGGATTCCGTGGTGGCGTTGTTGATTGACGTTTTGAGGAAGGTTTCGGCTGCGGACCGCTTTGTCAAGCAAGGGCTCTGGTCTTCCCAAGGAGAGTTCCCTCTTGGCTCTAAGGTCGTATCCTATCCTCTCTTCTCTGATTATCTGTTTCATTTTTCAATGGGAAAAAGATGTAGTAGAAGCTTTGACCCCAAAGAATTACAACTTTAAACTTGTCCTTAATTCCGAATCTAAATTATAAATGTAAAGTACTATTCAACTGTTATGTGTTGTTGATGATTTGGTAATTGACGAATTTCAGCTTGGAGGTAAGCGAGTGGGAATTGTTGGATTAGGAAGTATCGGATCAGAGGTTGCTAAAAGGCTGGAGGCATTTGGCTGCTCTATCTCTTACAATTCAAGAAAGAAAAAACCATTTTTCTCATACCCTTTTTATCCCAACGTTCGTGAACTGGCCGCAAACTGCGATGCCCTTATAATTTGCTGTGCATTAACTGATGAAACGCACCACCTGATTAACAAGGAAGTGTTGTCGGCGTTGGGGAAGGATGGAGTCATTATTAATATAGCACGTGGACCCATCATCGATGAGAAGGAACTGGTGCGGTGTTTAGTTGAGGGAGAGATCCGAGGTGCTGGTTTGGATGTGTTTGAGCACGAGCCTGATGTTCCCAACGAGCTTTTTGCATTGGATAATGTAGTTATGTCTCCCCATAATGCTGTTTTCACATGGGAATCTTTTGAAGATCTGCGTAAACTCGTGGTCGGAAACTTGGAAGCTTTCTTCTCAAATGAACCCTTATTGACTCCAGTTGTTCTGGATGATCAACCACATTTCTCAGGTTAGTACTAGGAATATGACTGAGGCTTTTATATTTTGGAACTGATTCTTTTGTCTATTCTTCTGACAAGCTCTAATTCCAACTGTTACCTAGAAGAAATTTGTTCCTACTGATTTAGCTGGTCATGGCCTACTGCTAAGCTGAAATAAATGATGTTTGTTAACCTACTTATAGGTTTTGGGAAATCTCATCTTATTTGTCATTATCATCACTTTCCCTCATTTTGTAGAAACTGGTCATATACTGAAGATATGTCGCTCTATATCTCTATTACTTCTCATGTTCTTTCTGGTGGGTGCAGGGTAAAATAAAACTGGAGTAACAGAGGAGACAAGGACTAAGAGCTGCTGCATTGTCATTATTAATTAACTTTGTCCTTATGTCTTTCAAATTGTAAGCTTGAAAAGTAGAAATTGTATTGAATTGCTGGCGGCCTTTGTTAAAAACTAGATAGAACCTCATTTGGGTTAAAAATAACGAACATGGTTTACCATTGTTTGCAAATGTGTGCGCTTGCAAGCTTGTTTATGGTAGTCAAGAACCGAGACAGGGTTTTAACATCTTTGCTATGTACAAAAGGCCTTCCTTTTATTAGCACTTCTACATTTTGGTATTGAAGACGAGAGAAGAAAACCATCAACAAATGTATTTGCCGGCTAAGATCACCTGGCCAAAATAAATGCATGCAATTATGAGTCTAACCTTATAGATTTATGAAGAAATTACAGTGAAATATTAATAAATTCTAGTGAATTATTAAAATGGAGGATAAAGTGAAACTTAATTCTTCAGCCTATAGCAAAGCTGTAACTTAGTTACAGCCTGTGAACCTACCACCGCTCTAGTCCCAAGTTGCAAAAGACAGAATAAACTTTCCTTTTTCAACAAAGTGTTAGCACTGGAAAATGTGAAAGATGGCCTAACCCTGATGTTCACCAGCAGAGAAACCAACTTAACTTCATCAAAAGATCTTCTCAAGTCTCCTTGGGTTTCATCAGTTCCATACTTCAATTACCTGCACTGCAATGGCCTATTATCGACGCCAAGAAAGCCATGTTTATCAATCTCAAAACCTTCCACTAGTCCAAGTCCTTGAGCCACCGCCAGTCTTTAATTTCATGGGGACCAACTGTTGAAAATATTCCTATTCTTGAAAGCATGGGAATCACCACTCCCTCTGGACCAATTCTTGACCATACATTCGCATTCAGTTCAAGCCCTTCTCTCGCCTGGCACACATCCAGTCACGCTTGAAACACTCAGGCCGCTGCCATCTCTGGGGCTGATCGTCACCACCACCAGTGTTGGCCTCAACCATATTGACCTGCCGGAGTGCCGGAGGCATGGAATTTCTATAGCCAATGCTGGTAACTTGTACTCTGAAGACGTCGCAGATTTGGCTGTTGGCCTGCTGATTGATGTGCTTAGAAAAATCTCTGTTGCTGATCGGTATGTAAAACGGCAGCTTTGCCCAGTGAAGGAAAGTTTCCTCTTGGAATCAAGCTGATTTTCTCTTCTTCGAACCTGTATTCCCAGCGTTGACTTTGAGCCCTTCAGTTTCAGAAGATATTTTTAACTTTTGCAAAACTATAGACTTTTAACTATTTCTTTTCTACTTTGGAAAATAAGATCATTTTCCTGAGAAAATCATTTCAGACTTGAATTTCGTGATCAATGGTGATAAAAGAGTAAATTTTGACATAAAATTTACAGAGAGGCTGTTAATTAAGGAAGAACGATAACCAAAATTTCCTCTTCTTTCAATGTTGTAATCATGCTTTTAATTTGTCACCACCATCAGGACCCAGATGGTAACTGGTGTCTCTTTCTAGTTATGCATTCTTGATGACTCTGGATTTGGGATTAAACCTTTCAGTTAAGAGGCAAACAAGTTGGAATCATAGGCTTGGGAAGCATTGGCTTTGAAGTAGCAAAAAGGCTCGATGCATTTGGATGTAATATCTTGTACAACTTGAGAAGGAAGAAGCCATCCATACAATATCCATATTATTCCAATATCTGTGAACTTGCATCTAACTGTGATGTTCTTATAATTTGCTGTGAATTAACTGACAAAACCCATCACATGATTAACAAGGAAGTTCTGCTGGCAATGGGGAAGAAAGCAGTCATTGTTAATGTCGGACGCGGCGCCATTATAGGCGAGCAGGAAATGGCGGGGTGTTTGATGCGAGGAGAGAGAGCAGGTGCTGGCTTGGATGTGTTCGAGAAGGAGCCTGATGTTCCGCAAGAGCTCTTTGATATGGATAATGTTGTGCTGTCACCGCATAGAGCTGTTCATTCACAGGAAACTTCGACGGCTTTGTGTGACCTTGTGGTGGGGAATTTTGAAGCTTTCTTCTCAAATAAACCCTGACTTACCCCAGTAATAGATGAGTGATCTCGTTGATTAACAAGGAAGAATTACTGACTTTTGAAGCTTTCTTCTCAAATTAACCCTTACTTACCCCAGTAATCAATGAGTGATCTCATTGCTTAACAAGGAAGAATTACTGAATTTCTTGTTTTAAGTACGTGTGTCGAATGCCATGTATGAACATGAAGGTCATTGACGACAACAATTGTAGACAATTGGCTTCGGCTATATCATGTAGCGCAAGCCCGACAACGTTACGTGTTGTGCTGCAATCTCTGCCACACATTGATATTGCCTACTATTCAACTTGCCAATTAATTTGGAGTCAAATGTCCCTGTTTCTTTAGCAAAGAAAGAAAAACAAACAAACTTGAAATCAATGGACCAAATAATTATATTAAATAAAATTCAAAGAAAGAAATTCCTCGTTACTTTACCCTTTTTTCTATAGTTTCTGCTGCAGTGCTGGCCTTATCTGTTGCTTCAGTTTCACATTTTCACCTAAACTCAAACCATCCATGGAACATCATCAAGAACGAAGCGATCACCGATCCCAAGACCTCCCTCAGGTCCTAGTTATCAAACCACCACCAGTTTTGACACTTTTTGAGGACAAATTCATCTCAAGCAAATTCCAACTCTTAAAAGCATGGGAGTCAACACTCCCACTAGATCAATTCTTGACCAAGTATGCAGGCTCAGTTCGAGCCGTCCTCTGTTCTGGTGCTTCCCCTATCACCGCCGACATCATCCGGTTGCTACCTTCATTGCAACTCGTCACAACCTCCGGCGCAGGTGTCAATCACATTGACTTGAGTGAGTGCAGGAGGCTTGGCATCGCAGTGACCAACGCTGCAGGTGTGTTCTCGGATGATGGTGCTGACGCTGCTGTGGGGTTGTTGATTGACGTGCTCAGAAAGGTTTCTGCTGCTGATCGGTACGTTAGAAATGGTCTTTGGCCCACGAAAGGGGACTACCCTCTTGGTTCTAAGGTAATCCTTTCTCCTTTTTATTTTCATGTAATTTGTGGATTTTCTGCTAGATTTTTGGAAAATATTAACAGGAGGAAAGATGATTGAACCTTTTGCTCTGTCCAATTAAAAGTATTAGGAATGATGCACACATATTTTTCGTTTTGGGAAGAGGATTAGAAGGAAGGATTCATGATTCATAGCTAAGTTAGTAGAACTTTTCTAAGCAAATTAATCAATGTTAAGGGGATTTAAGATTTCATATCAGCAAACAGAATCAAATGGTGAAGAACAACAGAGAAAAAGAATCTGCCATTCTTTCTAAACTGTCAATGAAAGCTGATGGATCCTTGTCAAATCATGGTTTCAGAATAATTCTGTTGAAAATTGATTCGTGTACTCTCCCATTTGTTCTATTCTACATTCGGGTAAAACTTGTATGGCTGGAAATAAGGTTGTGAGAGATGAAAAATTTTGACAGTACGTACAGCAAGATTCATCCTCATTATCCTCTCATTATCCTTATTCTGTCTAGAATTACTATCTTGACCATGAATTGATGCATATATCAGCTGGGAGGCAAGCGGGTTGGGGTTGTTGGACTCGGAGGGTTTGGCTTAGCAGTTGCCAAAAGGCTAGAGGCCTTTGGCTGCACCGTGTTGTACAACTCTCGAACGCAAAAACCTTCTGTTCCATACCCCTTCTACTCCACCGTTTTCGAACTCGCCGCCGACAGCGACGCCCTCATCATTTGCTGCGGATTAACTGCTGAAACTCGGCACATGATTAACAGGGAAGTCTTGTTGGCACTAGGGAGGCAAGGAGTCATCGTCAACATAGGTCGAGGAGCCATTATCAATGAGAAGGAAATGGTGGAGTGTCTGGTGCGAGGAGAGATCGGAGGAGCTGGTTTGGATGTGTTTGAGAACGAACCCAATGTTCCTGAAGAGCTCTTCGGATTGGATAATGTGGTGCTGTCACCACATAGAGTTGTTTTCACACCAGAATCCTTCGTGGCTGCCTCTGAACTGGCGGTGGGGAACTTGGAAGCGTTCTTTTCAAATAAGCCATTACTTTCTCCTGTCATCTATGAATGAAATGTATTTCATGCACGATTAATATAAAAATAATTTTACTAGGAGTCTTATTTTATTTTAAAAAAGTTTAAAATGTTTATAGGTGAATGTCAATTTCGATCAGATATCAAGTTATAATTCTTTAATTCACGCATAAAATTATAACATGGTGATATATTAAAACTAATTTTTTTAATGAGAATATGTATTAACTTTGATGAAATTATATTTTCTTGATCATGTATAAAAATATAAGCCGTTCACTATTTAGCAAGGACAAATCCGGTTAGCCATAAAATGTGCTGTCTCTAGCAAGCTAAGTTGGACCTTAAAACTTGGATTTTATGGAAAGGCCCATATTCTAGATTGAAAGCCCAATTTTGGTCCAACTGGTTAATATAAGGGATTAGGTAAAGGAGCAATTTCTTTTTTTTTTTTTTTTCCTTCGAATATAGTCGACTGATCGCATTTTACACTATACTATTACATTAATAATTTTTTTACTAAATCTTACTGTATCTTTACCCTTATTATATTATATTTTTTGTAGATATCTAGTCAAATATTTATATATTGTTTTGAATCAATATAAAACAGAAGAATTTGACCTAATTATATTTTTTTAACGAGTACTTATCAAGAAGACAGATCAATATGTTTTGAACGTAAAATATTTTATTAGAGAAAGAATCTAGTTAAAATATATAATCCCAGGTCCTTTGAATACAATGATTTTTATGGTTATATTTTTTTAATTTATTTTTCATTGACTGCTTATTATTATTATTATTAAATTACTTTAGGATTCTCACTATGGGAATTTCACGTAGATTTTACCATGTCAACCACAACTATTCATCTGGATTGGATCATAAGCATGTGATGAGATAACAATTATAGTGACTAAATAGACGTCTTAATTAGTTAATCTATGACTCAAAAAGAACTTTACGAAAATCACTATTTTTTTATTTTTTATTATTTTTGTTTTTTATTCAATTAATTAAAATATTCATGTGCAATGCATCAGATTAATTTATATTATTTATTTTGATTATTTTGTGTCCCTATTTATTTATT